AACCCGGGGGGGTCGCCAAGCGAGGAGTGTGGCGAGTGGTCGCCGCGTCGTCGTCGACGGCGTCACCCCCCTCTGGTGAGTCAGAGGAGTCAGAAGAGATCTCAACTGGCTCATCCAAGGGGGGTGGGTCTACCTGGGACACACCTGAGGGAGCAGGACCCTGTGGGGGGAGGGGGTCTACCGGGGGGGGGACTGGTACCAGGAAGAGGGGTGCAAGGGGGACCGGGTGGGACGCGTGCGGGTGAAGTCGGTAGTAACAGACCGACTCGTCGAAGGTGACGTCCTGAGAGGACAGAACACGACGCAAGGCAGGGTGGTAGAACTGCCAGGGTGGAGCGTCGGTGGGGAAGCCCAGGAAGACACAACGGAGAGTGCGAGGAGAGAGCTTGCTCGCTTTGGTATCGCGAACAAGGGAGAGCGCGCCTCAGACCCGAAACGACGACACATCACCAGGCTGTCCCGTCCAACGAAGTGTGGGCGAGGTCTCTGGAGCAGAGACACGGGGCCAGAGGTTGAGCTGATGCGCGGCGTATCGGACCGCAAACGGCCACAGGAAATGGGGAGCAGCCGCATGGATCATGGAGGTACGAGCAACCTCCATGATCAGGCCAATGCGACGCTCAGCGATCCCATTTTGCTGCGGAGAGGCCGGAAGCGTGAACGACTGGTCGATGCCCTCATCCTGGCAGAACGTCTCAAGGACGCCAGAAGAGAACTCACCACCCCTGTCCGAGTGCAGACGCAGGACTGGGAAGTCCTGCTGAAAGCGCTCGTGTAGCTGGAGACGAGTAGCACGGATCCAGGGGATCAAAACACTGCTGACGTCCGCCTTGCGACGCAAGGGGAAGACTGTGGTGTAGCGTGTGTAGTCGTCAACAACCAGCAGGAAGTAGCGCTCCTGGTCCGTCCCACCGACGGGGGCCGGGCCCCACACGTCCAGGTGGAGAGTCTGCAGAGGAGCAGTGGTCGGAGGAAACTCGGAGGAGTGAGGAGCGGCGCGCTGCCGCCCCTCGACGCAAGGAAGGCACGGCGGCGCAAGTGAGCGCGGGAGGGGGGGCAGGGTCTCAGGGAGGCCAGAGACCAGGAGCCGGGAGTGCATGCCGCGCAGACGCTGCAGGGAGGGGTGACCAAGACGGTGGTGCCAGCGCTGATTCTCGTGCGTGAGTACTCTGCACGAGCAAGACGCAGCTAACTGCCCTGACGCAGACGCTCGACTCGACGCAACTACCTGACCTGACTCAGCCACCTGTGCAGACGCAGTGGTCAGTGTGTACAGACTAGACCCAGGCTGACGAGTGAACGTAGCCAGGTGACGGCCAGTCCGGGAGCACGTACAGATCGCCACACGCTGCCCTCCAGGAATAAAGGTATCAACCCAGACATCCTGAATGGCAGCGTTGCTCACCAAGTTCGTAGAGAATGTGGGGAGGTGGAGACCTGACAAAGAACCGGAGGGGACTGCTAGACAAGGGAGGACCGTGGAGGCTCTCGCAACCACTGGGCCCCCAGAGGGGTCAGCCAGTGAGACTGGGACAGGTGCTGTGAGTGGTGTGACTGTGGTGCAATCACGGAAGAAGCAACGTGACGCGCCTGAGTCAAGCGTGAAAGTGTGCAAGACCTCAGCTGAGGCAGGACCTGTGGTAGTAGACGCACTCGGTAGACTCACGGGCACCTAGAGCTCCAGCAGACTCACTAGCACCTGGAGCAGCAGTCCTAACAGAACGATAACCTCCACCACCAGGACGACCTCGCTGAATAACCCACTCACGAAGCTGCCGAGGGGTGGGGTCGTCCGGGAGAAGCAGTGCCCGCTGCTGTCCACCCCTGGCCGCAGCAACTGCCGCGGAAGTGGCCATGACAGACAGTGACGGTCCAGAGTAGGTCCTAGGGCAGAAGCACGTAGGGTCTTTTTTTTTTTTTTTTTACAATTTAATTATATTTAGGGTATAGCAGGGCGCTGGCGCAGGGCAGGGCGCTGGCGCAGAGTAGGGCGCGGACGCAGGGCAGGGCGCTGGCGCAGGGCAGGGCGCCAGCGCGCGCAGGGCAGGGCGCTGGCGCAGGGTCGACGCGAGGGGCAGCAGAGCGCGACGCGACTGGCTGCCTTAGGGCGCGGCGCGCGGGCTGCAGCAGAGCGCGACGCGCGAGGCAGCAGAGGCGCCGCGCTGGCTGCAAGGGCAGCTCGTACGGGCTGCAGGGGCCGCGCGGACGGGCTGCAGAGGCGGCGCGCGGGCTCCAAGGGCGACGCGCGGGCTGCAGGGTCCGCGAGGACGGGCTGCAAAGGCGGCGCGCGGGCTCCAGGGGCGACGCGCGGGCTGCAGGGTCCGCGAGGACGGGCTGCAGAGGCGGCGCGCGGGCTCCAGGGGCGACGCGCGGGCTGCAGGGTCCGCGAGGACGGGCTGCAGAGGCGGCGCGCGGGCTCCAGGGGCGACGCGCGGGCTGCAGGGTCCGCGAGGACGGGCTGCAGAGGCGGCGCGCGGGCTCCAGGGGCGACGCGCGGGCTGCAGGGTCCGCGAGGACGGGCTGCAGAGGCGGCGCGCGGGCTCCAGGGGCGACGCGCGGGCTGCAGGGTCCGCGAGGACGGGCTGCAGAGGCGGCGCGCGGGCTCCAGGGGCGACGCGCGGGCTGCAGATTCCGCGAGGACGGGCTGCAGAGGCGGCGCGCGGGCTCCAGGGGCGACGCGCGGGCTGCAGGGGCCGCGCGGACGGGCCGCAGAGGCGACGCGTGGCTGCAGGGGCAGCGTGAACGGGCTGCAGGGGCAGCGTGAACGGGCTGCAGGGGCAGCGTGAACGGGCTGCAGGGGCAGCGTACGGGCTGCAGGAGCAGCGCTCGGGCCACAGGGGCAGGCGCGGCTGCAGGGGCAGCACGGTAGCAGGGGCGAGCACGGTAGCAGGGGCGAGCACGGCTGCAGGGGCAGCACGGTCGTAGGGGCGAGCACGGCTGCAGGGGCAGCGCGGTCGCAGGGGCAGCGCACGGGCTGCAAGGGTCGCGACAGTGAGAGCTAGGGGCGCCAGCGCGCTGGCTACTGTGTAGGGCGTGGCGCTACCACTAGGCGGAACGGTGGGCCCATGTAGGAACGGTTCCTACTCTGATACCATGTTAAGAATAGAACTAGGAATGGTGAATGAACTAGGCAAGAGGTGAGTACAAGTAGGGGAAACCTAACCCTAAAGTGTTGTACTCACTAAGGAGTGACCCTACTGTAGCCTATAGATACAATTGTAATCTGACAAAAACCTACACTGTGGATCCCCGATTGATCCTAGGGGGGTCTCATGCATGTTAGCCGGGGGGGGGGGGGGGCTTTGGGCACTGACCCACATTTGAAACCAGCCCTTTTATCCCAGTGGTCTAGTGACTGGGACTTTGACATTCCCCCCCCCCCACCCCCCCTTATGTTTTTTTCAAAACCGAACATATCTTATTCATGAAAGCTATGCACATAGACCGTATATCATACATGATCATCAACAACGAATCTCATACATGAAAACCATGCATGGACTGTATCTCATGTATGAAAATATGGTTATAAAGCGTTGTCGCGTTTCACGGATTAGTACACATAACGAGTTAGTCAATGTGCCACTTTCAATCTTGTGAATGCTTTAGTTGGAATAGTATGTGTCTTTACCATGCTCTTTCTTTGAATTTCTATCAGGCACTAGCTAATAGAGCAGTTCCAATCTGTGGTATACTGTAGCGATCCGTGCAACTCGAGGATGCTCAAATCTCTGATCCTCGCCTATCGGCTGCCGGGCTCGCTTCCCTGCATCTGTGGGTTGGTTTCTTCATTACCCAACGCCTCTTGGTCGCATTTCCCGCGTTAGCCGCGCCAGCTGCCAGTGCTACTCTCGATAAGTCTCTGAAGGATTTTCCTTCGTTTAGCCTCGCGGCAATGGCGGCGGCATCGAGCCGCCAGGGTCCATGGGGAGGCTTGCTGTGCGGCCTGGCGCTGATCCTGATCTGCGTCATGGCTTTCTCGATCCGCCTCTTCTCGGTGAGACTTCAGATCCCATTCGTCGTTGCGGAATCTCGAAGATTTTTACTCGGGAAAAGGTAGGCTACTTTTACGAGTTCCCCAGAAGGTCCCAGCACAATATGCGTAGAGTAGGATGCTAAGCTCCGTGACATTTCAGAGCATTATTCGTGAATTTTATATAAAAAAAAACAGCACGAAACGCAAGAGTGCTAGTTTCATTGGATTGGATTCCGTGATACGAAGCTGCTGCCTCGAGCCACTTTTTATAAAAGCGTCGTCTTGCCTACTTCGCATACCCGATGTTCAACGATCAGACACTTAATTCACTGCCGGTTTGGCTTCGTATGGAGCTCTTCAGATCTGGATCACAAACTTTACCTCTCGTGGTTAAAGGCAAAGCTTCGCCTCAGGCAAACTTTCCGCTCTATACTTTAGCAACGCACGCTAACCGAGAATACTAGGCCTGGGCCGTCGTCCCGGTCGATTTCATATAATGATGGTCCGGCCAGAAATGGATCTCTCATGATGGATTTATTCGACGCGCTTGATTTAGGACATAGCTAAAGTACGAGTGTCTCATTTTTCAACTTACCTCGCATCCTTCAGGCCCATTTTCCGCGTAGACTGAGCTAAGTAGCCACCTATACACGGCTGAGCCATCTATTAGCGGATTTCAGTCAAATGAACCATTTAGACGCTCATCATGCTCCTCAGCCATGCTTCTCCCCTTTCCATATTTGTCAGAATTCGTACCCGGTCATGATTATTCGTTTACGGGCATAAAATACAAAAGCGTTATTCACGATTCGACTTGTGCCTCCACGCTGCCACCTCCATGTAGAACCACTCAACACACCCCTCGAATCCTGTGGTTCCCCTTTCCATCCGTCCATGGCAGGTGATCAAGTACGAGAGCGTCATTCACGAGTTCGACCCCCCTACCTGCCATTATCAAGTAGAACACTCAACTGAACATACCCCTCGAATCTTGCCTTTTCCCTTTCTTCCCGTGCGGCCACAGGTGATCAAGTACGAGAGCGTCATTCACGAGTTCGACCCCTACTTCAACTACCGCGTCACCCAGGTGATTCCCGTCACCCAGGTGATTCCCGTCACCCACGTGATTCCCGTCACCCACGTGATTCCCGTCACCCAGGTGATTCCCGTCACCCACGTGATTCCCGTCTCCAGGTGCCTCATATGGCCTCCTTCTTGCTCGCTCGTGCGCGTCCTGTCTCGCTGTGGCATCCCGGATGCGTCCCGCATGCGTCCCATCACGCGTTCTCCCTATGCCTCCCACGCGCGTCCCAGAGCTCGTGCTTGTCTTGTGCGATGCAGTTTCAACCTGGGTCGTCGCGGATCCTTGCACCCTCTTAAAGCGCTCCTCTTGAATTCCTCCTCTCCTCTCCCGCTTCCTGCTTCACGGTGCAGTTTCTTTCAAAGGAGGGGTTCTATAACTTCTGGAACTGGTTTGATGACCGCACTTGGTGAGTGATGGCGATGAGATGGCATGGCTAGTAATGGGAGAGGAGATGGAATGGCGAGTGATGGGAGATGAGATTTTATGGCTAGCTATGGGGGAGATGCCATGGCGAGTGATGGGAGATGAGATTTTATGGCTAGCTATGGGGGAGATGCCATGGCGAGTGATGGGAGATGAGATTTTATGGCTAGCTATGGGGGAGATGCCATGGCGAGTGATGGGAGATGTGCAGTTTTTTTTAACCGAGGGCTTCTATAACTTCTGGAACTGGTTTGATGACCGGACGTGGTGAGTGAGGGGGGATGAGATGGCATGGCGAGTTGTGGGGGAGGTTATGGCGAGTGGTGGGAGATGCGATGGCATGTCGAGCGAGCATGGGAGGAGATGCTATGGCGAGGGATGGATGGAACGGGACATGCTGCAGTGGTCTCCCTACTACACTCACCTGTTTCGCTCCGCCTGATACAGGCCCTTGTGTTGTCATACAACCCTCGTGCCCTGCTGTCCTCTCGAGATTTGCCTGGAATCTCAGCGTCTGTTGGCCTCTTGACTTGTGCTCTCCCTTCTTCACTCACCTGTTTCGCTCCGCCTGACAAAGACCCTTGTGTTGTCATACAACCCTCGTGTCCTGCTGTCCTCTCGAGATCTGCCTGGAATCTTAGCGTCTGTTGGCCTCTTGACTTGTGGCACTGGCAGGTACCCTCTGGGGCGAGTCATTGGTGGCTTTTGAGTCGACTCAAAAGTCACCTTGTCCTGCTGTCCTCTCGAGATTTGCCTGGAATCTTAGCATCTGTTGGCCTCTTGGTATGTGGCACTGGCAGGTACCCTCTGGGGCGAGTCATTGGTGGGACGGTGTACGCGGGTCTCACTCTCACTGCCGGCACCATGTGGTGGTGAGTGCAGCGCGTGAAGGCGAGAGGGCAAGGGATGCATGGTGTGTAGAGGGCATGTGGGAGTAGCTGGTGGGACGGTGCACCCGGGTCTCACTCTCACTGCCAGCACCATGTGGTGGTGAGTGCAGCGCGTGAAGGCGAGAGGGCAAGGGATGCATGGTGTGTAGAGGGCATGTGGGAGTAGCTGGTGGGACGGTGCACCCGGGTCTCACTCTCACTGCCAGCACCATGTGGTGGTGAGTGCAGCGCGTGAAGGCGAGAGGGCAAGGGATGCATGGTGTGTAGAGGGCATGTGGGAGTAGCTGGTGGGACGGTGCACCCGGGTCTCACTCTCACTGCCAGCACCATGTGGTGGTGAGTGCAGCGCGTGAAGGCGAGAGGGCAAGGGATGCATGGTGTGTAGAGGGCATGTGGGAGTAGCTGGTGGGACGGTGCACCCGGGTCTCACTCTCACTGCCAGCACCATGTGGTGGTGAGTGCAGCGCGTGAAGGCGAGAGGGCAAGGGATGCATGGTGTGTAGAGGGCATGTGGGAGTAGCTGGTGGGACGGTGCACCCGGGTCTCACTCTCACTGCCAGCACCATGTGGTGGTGAGTGCTGGGCGTGCTGAGGGCGTGGGTGCATGGTGAGGTGAGGTGAAGGCATGAGGAGTCATTGGTGGGACGGTGTACCCGGGTCTCACTCTCACTGCTGGCACCATGTGGTGGTGAGTGCAGGGCGTGGGTGCGTGCATGATGAGGTGAGGTGAGGGCATGGGATGCATGGTGTTTGGAGGGCATGAGGAGTCATCGGTGGGGCGGTGTACCCGGGTCTCACTCTCACTGCCCGCAACTTCCTCTTCTCTTCACCATGGATGGAGACCGTGTGTGTTCACAGCACAAGAGTTCCTCCTTTCACTTCTCCTCGCACCTTCTGCGTTCCTCGTGGAGACGGTGTGTGTGTTCACGAAACCTACCTCCTTCCACCAATCCCTTCGCCTCCTTCTCCTGCTGCTCGATCCATTCCCACCCCCCGTACAGGCTTGCCAACGCGCTTAACTTCCCCTTCTCAGTGGAGACCGTGTGTGTGTTCACGGCGCCAGTGTTCCTCTTTCTCCTGCTGCTCCATCCCTTCCCATCCCCCATACAGGCTCGCCAACGCGCTCAACTTCCCCTTCTCCGTGGAGACCGTGTGTGTGTTCACGGCGCCAGTGCTGCATGCATACCCCATCCGCCCCATCCCTTCCATCCCTCCCTGCCAGGCTCGCCAACGCGCTCAACTTCCCGTTCTCCGTGGAGACGGTGTGTGTGTTCACGGCGCCAGTGTTCATCCTTGGCTCTTATCCCCCCCTGCTGTTACCCACCATACAGGATTGCCAATGCTCTCAACTTCCCCTTCTCCGTGGAGACGGTGTGTGTGTTCACGGCACCAGTGTTCTCAGCGTTTGCGGCGTGGGCCACCTTTCTCTTGGCCAAGGAAGTACGGGGCACGGGGGCAGGGCTGACTGCTGCTGCACTCATCGCCATGGTGAGTGGCTTCGACTGCTGACTGATAAGCGCATGATGGCTGTTCTCAGCGCATGCGGTGTGGGTCACCTTCCTGCTGGCCAAGGAAGTGCGGGGCACGGGGGCTGGGCTGACTGCTGCTACGCTCATTGCCATGGTGAGTGGCGCGCATGTGGTGTTGGGTGCTGACTTAACGCAGAAGTAAGCACACGAGTGTTCTCAGCGCATGCGGCGTGGGCCACCTTCCTTCTCGCCAAGGAGGTGCGGGGCACAGGGCCTGGCCTGACTGCTGCTGCGCTCATCGCCATGGAGTGGTTTTGACTGCTGACTGATAAGTGCATGTGGTGTGGACCAGCTTTTTTTTGCCTAGAGAAGCGCAGGGCACGGGGGCTGGCCTGACTGCTGCTGCGCTCATCGCCATGGTGAGTGGCTTTGACTGCTGACTGATAAGCATGACTGTTCTCAGCGCATGCGGCATGGGCCACCTTTCTCTTGGCCAAGGAGGTCCGGGGCACGGGGGCTGGGCTGACTGCTGCTGCGCTCATCGCCATGGTGAGTGGCCTCTATCGTGCATGGTCATGGTGAGTGTGGCACATGTGGTGCTGACTTCTGGGTTGACCCATAAGTAAGCGCACGAGGTGTTCTCAGCGCATGCAGCGTGGGCCACCTTTCTCTTAACCAAGGAGGTCCGGGGGACGCGGGCTGGGCTCACTGCTGCTGCGCTCATCGCCATGGTGAGTGGCTGCTCGTTATGTTGGCTGCTGAGTGGGGCAATGAGCAGGACGGATTGCAGCGCATGTGGCGTGGACCAGCTCTTTTTTGCCTAGAGAAGTGCGGGGCACGGGGGCTGGACTCACCGCTGCTGCGCTCATTGCCATGGTGACTTGCCACTCGTGCTGTTGGCTGCTGGTGTTTGTAAAGCTGTGCAATGCGCTGCCTGCCTGCCAATGTTGTTTTCCTCTTCACTGCGCTGCACTTCTCTGCACCGCTCCTCACCTGTGCGTTGCAGGTGCCGTCGTACATCTCTCGGTCCGTGGCTGGCAGCTACGACAACGAGGGGGTGGCTATCTTTGATATTGTCTTCACAGCTCTGCGCTCCTCTGTACCGCTCCCCACCTGTGCGTTTCAGGTGCCGTCATACATCTCTCGCTCCGTGGCTGGCAGCTACGACAACGAGGGGGTGGCCATCTTTGCCCTTGTCTTCACCTTCTACCTCTACATCAAGGTGAGTGAGTGGGTTTATGAGGGGGTGACCATCGTTGCCCTCGCCTTGTAGTGATGCATGTGCGTGTGAATGAGTGTGTCTGCCTGTCGGGTGGTGACTGGCTGACTGGGCTGGCAGCTACGACAACGAGGGGGTGGCCATCTTCGCCCTCGTCTTCACCTTCTACCTCTACATCAAGGTGAGTGAGTGGGTGAATGAGGGGGTGACCATCGCCCTCGTATTCACCTTCTACCTCTACATTATGGTGAGGGAGGGAGTGTGCATGTGCAGGGGGATGGGCGTCTGCTTGTGATTGTGTGTGCGCATCAGGGGGGAACAGGGAGTGTGCGAGCGTATGGAAATGAGTGCATGCATGGGAACCAGTGTGTGATTGTGATCCAACGCGGCGCCCTATTTCCACATGTGCCATGGGGCGCCTACACGTGCATCGACACCCTGACCCTTCTTCAAATCCTCCCCTCTCCTCTTTTGAGGCGCCTCAAAACTCCCCTCTCCTCTAACTGCCGTTCCTCTAACTCCCCGTGCACTCCCTCCCTTCTTCTCTTCAGAAGCTCAACACGGGGTCGCTGTTTTACGCCACAGCTAACGCGGCGGCGTATTTCGACATGGTGATGTCGTGGGGCGGCTACACCTTCATCCCTACCCTGAGCTTCCTTGAAATCCGCCGCCTCTGTCCCTAATCCCCGTGCACTCCCTCCCTTCCCCACGCCAGACACTCAACACGGGATCACTCTTCTATGCGACGGCCAACGCGGCGGCCTATTTCTACATGGTGATGTCGTGGGGCGGCTACACTTTCATCATCAACCTCATCCCCATCCAACCAACACTCCCCGCCTTGCAGACGCTCAACACGGGTTCTCTCTTTTACGCCACGGCCAACGCGGCGGCCTATTTCTACATGGTGATGTCGTGGGGCGGCCACACCTTCATCATCAACCTCATGCCATCCAACCATCATGGCCCCTGCACTCCCTGCTCTCCTGCCCTGTTCTCCAACCCACCTACACTTCCCTCTAAACAGACGCTCAACACAGGGTCGCTGTTTTACGCCACGGCCAACGCGGCGGCCTATTTCTACATGGTGATGTCGTGGGGCGGCTACACCTTCATCATCAACCTCATCCCCATCCACGTGCTGCTGTGCATCGTCACCGGTCGCTTCTCCTCGCGACTCTACGTCGCCTTTGCCCCTCTGGTGAGCTCCCGGTCTTCGCTCCCTTGCAATCATGCGCCACCTCACTTCCAAGCGAGCTGTCGCCTTATCATGCATGCCATGCATCCATCCGTCCCCATCCGCATGCTGCTCTGCACCGTCACCGGCCGCTTCTCCTCGCGACTCTATGTTGCCTTTGCCCCTCTGGTAAGGAGCACCCCGTCGTCTCTCCCTCGCGATCATGCTTCGCCCCACTTGTAAGTGAGCTGTTGTTTTTAACCTGGTGCAAGCACGGGCATGCCATGCGCCCAGTCCATCCCCATCCACGTGCTGCTCTGTATCAGCGCCTCTGAATCAGCGCTTCTGTATCAACGCCTCTGCAACCCTCTGAATGTTCTCCATGCATGGAGAACACCATTCACCCGTCCACACGTTCATCTTGATTGTTCGTTCTGGGCACGCTGCTGGGCACGCTGCTGGGCACGCTGCTGGGCACGTTCATCAGCGCTGGTGCGGTGCCTGCAGCCCTCTGAATGTGTTTCGTGTCGTGGGTACACGTCGCAAAAACTCCACTCCACCCCTCTCACCAGCATACACCTCTCTCCCCACACCACGTGCTCCCTGACAGATAATTCTGGGCACGTTGCTGGCAGCGCTGGTGCGGTTCAGCACCTCTCTGCAACCATCTGAATGCGTGCCGTGTGCTCACCTCTCACGCTAACTCCACCCCTCTCACTTGCGTACACCTCTCTCCCCACACCACGTGCTCCCTGACAGATAATTCTGGGCACACTCTTGGCAGCGCTGGTGCCGGTGGTGGGCTTTAATGCCGTCATGACGTCTGAGCACTTTGGAGGGTTCCTGGTGAGTGCAGCTCGCCTCGATTGCATGTGGCACTGGTGGTGTTTTCATGGGGTAATGACGGGCCTTTGCACAGCACGCTGTCATGACGTCTGAGCACTTGGTTGGGTTCCTGGGTGGTACTGGTACTGGCTGGCTCAAACACATCATGCTGGCTGGCTCAAACACATCATGCTGGCTGGCTCAAACACATCATGCTGGCTGGCTCAAACACATCATGCTGGCTGGCTCAAACACATCATGCTGCTTCATGCGCCTGAGAAATTGCCATGCTTCTTTGGACATACACCCGTGCCGCTTCTGTGCTGCTGTCCCCATAACCTAATGTTGTCCCCCTCCCTTCTCTCCCCTTCAGGTGTTTGTGGTGCTGCATATCGCTGCTCTCCGCTACTACATCAAGCCATTGCTGCCACTGCTGTTCCTATACACTGTTGTTGCCCCCCTTTCCCTCACGCCAACCTGCCTCTTCCCTCTCTTTCCCTCAGGTGTTTGTGGTGCTGCACATCGCTGCCCTCAGCTACTACATCAAGCCATTGCTGCTATCTCTCGTCCGTATCTGCTCATCTCTCCCTACACACCCTTGTTCTTCTCCCTCTCCCTTCAGGTGTTTGTGGTGCTGCACATTGCTGCCCTCAGCTACTACATCAAGGCCCTGCTCCTGCTGTCCGTGCGTTAACCTCCCATGCCTCTCTGCTGCGTCTCCCACGCCCAACTGCTACCTGCCTTCCTCCCGCAGGTGTTTGTGGTGCTGCACATCGCTGCCCTCAGCTACTACATCAAGGCCCTGCTGCCCGCTAAGGCCTTCCGCATTGCTCTCACCCTCATCGTCTCAGTCGGCACGTACGTTCCTCTCTCGCACCCGGTTGCTCACTCACTCGTATTACAGTTTCCATGATTGAAGTGACCACCTCACAACGCTGCACTGCCATCAGTTTCCTCCACCACCACCCACCCTCTCTCCCTGTCCCCCTTCAGACTGGCAGCAGTGGCACTGCTCTCAGCTCTCGTCGCCATGCTTCTCGCCAGCCCCACTTCTTCTCCCCCACTCTGTCGTCCCTATCTGCTACCTCCCGCATTGCTCCCTTCCTTCCCTTTCCTGTCCTTCCCCCCTCCAGGGTGGCGGCAGTGGCGCTTCTCTCTGCTCTCTGCTGCCATGGTCCTCGCCAGTCCCACTTGCTGCTCGCTCACTCACTCTCTCCTCTCCTCTCCTCCCGTTCTCGCTACGTCCCCCTCTCCCTTTCAATCACCAGGGTGGCGGCAGTGGCGCTGCTCTCTGCTCTCGTTGCCATGGTGCTCGCCAGCCCGACTCTCGGCTGGACGGGTCGCTCCCTCAGCCTTCTGGACCCGTGAGTTGACTTGAGTGCTGTTTTCTATCCTGGAGGCGTCTGCATGCTGTTTGCTTGTACACGACTATAGAGTCAACTCCAGCCCCACGCTGGGCTGGACTGGTCATTCCCTCAGCCTTCTGGACCCGTGAGTGCTGCCCACGCTGGGCTGGACGGGTCGCTCACTCAAAAACAAGCAAGCAGCACTCACGCTGGTCGCTCCCTCAGCCTTCTGGACCCGTGAGTGCTGCTTGCATGTTCATAGCTTTCCATAACTAGACGTTTTTCAAGTCAGCTCAACCCCCACGCTGGGCTGGACGGGTCGCTCCCTCAGCTTTCTGGACCCGTGAGTGCTGCCTGCTTGCTTGTTATTTTGGGGGGTAAACTCTAAAATTGCCACTCCACGTTCCGTTTCGTTTCCTCTCTCCCCCACAGCACCTATGCATTCAAGTACATCCCCATCATCGCCAGTGTGAGCGAGCATTACGGATTCAAGACATTGCGACCCTTCCTTCCCCCTCTCTCCCTATCCCACCCCCACCACCAGCACGTATGCGTCCAAGTACATTCCCATCATCGCCAGTGTGAGCGAGCACCAGGGATTCAAGAAACCTGCCAATACGCCCTCTACGCCTCCCATTGCGCCCCTCCTCCCCCCCTCCCCCCCACCACCAGCACATACGCGTCCAAGTACACCCCCCTCATCGCCAGTGTGAGCGAGCACCAATGATTGATGAAGCCTGACAATATGCTGTGCCCCTCCTCCCCCCTCCCCCCCACCACCAGCACATACGCCGCCAAGTACATCCCCATCATCGCCAGTGTGAGCGAGCACCAATGATTGATGAAGCCTGACAATGTGTTGTGCCCCTCCCCCCCACTCTCTTTCCCCACCACCAGCACATACGCCGCCAAGTACATCCCCATCATCGCCAGTGTGAGCGAGCACCAGGGATTGAAGACACCTGCCAATCCGCCCTCTACGCCTCCCATTGCGCCCCTCCCTCTTCCCCTCCCCTTCCCCTCACCAGCACATATGCATCCAAGTACATTCCGATCATCGCCAGTGTGAGCGAGCACCAGCCGCCCATGTGGACGTCCTACTTCATGGACCTGCAGCTACTGGCGTTCCTTGCACCCGCTGGCCTCATTGTAAGCACACGTGCTCATAAGCACACACGTTGGTAAGCACATTGTCAGCACATTCACCTGTTCAACCAGCTCTGGCCTGGTACAAACAACCTACCGCAAGCTCCTCACAGCAGCGAGCAGCAGCCCCCCATGTGGACGTCCTACTTCATGGACCTGCAGCTGCTCGCCTTCCTTGCGCCCGCTGGCCTCATTGTAAGTGCACTCTCTGTCCAACCACCTCTGGTACCGCCTACCACCAGCCCTGCACCGTGACCACCAGCCCCTCGCAGCGAGCACCAGCCGTCCATATGGACGTCCTTCTTCATGGACCTGCACCTGCTGGTCTCATTGTGAGCATTGACGCCCATAAGCACACATGTTTGTAAGCACATTGTCAGCAGCACACTCACTGTTCAACCAGCTCTGGCACAACCTACCTCTAGCCCTCACAGCGAGCACCAGCCCCCCATGTGGACGTCCTACTTCATGGACCTGCAGCTGCTCGCCTTCCTTGCGCCCGCTGGCCTCATTGTAAGCACCCATGTTGTCAGCACACTCACCATCCAGTTTTAGTGCGACCTACCTACCACCAGCCAGCCGATCACTCCTCACAGCAGCGAGCAGCAGCCCCCCATGTGGACGTCCTACTTCATGGACCTGCAGCTGCTCGCCTTCCTGGCCCCCGCTGGCCTCATTGTAAGCACAACAGGGTGTCTGCTGTAAACACACATGCTTACAAGCACGATTATTCACTTTGCAAACCTAGTGCTCACCTCCTCGCCCTCGCCTGCACATTCATAAGACAGGAGCAATGCAAGGAGGTGCTCATGAAGTAGCCCTGTAACCCTGTTACCTTGGATTTCCAACCTCCAAGTGTAATCGCCTCTCCCCCTCCACCTCTCGAACCTTCTGCCCTCCTTCCTGCCCTCCTTCCTGCAGGCGTGCTTCCTGCCGCTCACAGACGCGAGCTCCTTCGTGGCCCTCTACCTCGTCTTCCTGTGCAAACCCTGATAACCTATCCCTAAACCCCTGAACCCCAAACCCCCTTGGTCCTGCAGGCGTGCTTCCTGCCGCTCACAGACGCGAGCTCCTTCGTGGCCCTTTACCTCGTCGTCTCCGTGTACTTCTCTGGAGTCATGGTGAGTCTATGCAAGGGGGTCAATGCTGAGTCACACTTGAGTCAATGGGGTCAACGGTGAGTCAAGGGGGTCAACAGTGGGTCAATGGGGTCAATGCAACATCTCTACCTCGTCGTCTCTGTGTACTTCTCCGGAGTCGTGGTGAGTCAAGGGGGTCGATGAGGTACATACATGGTATGGATGTCAATGCAGCATCTCTACCTTGTTGTCTTGCTGGAGTCATGGTGAGTCAATGGGGTCAATGGAACATCTCTACCTTGTCGTTTCCTTGTACTTCTCTGGAGTCATGGTGAGTCAATGGGGTCAATGGTGAGTCAGTCAGTGGTGAGTCAAGGGTAAGATATTGGTGAGTGAACGGAGTCAGCAGTGAGTCATGGTGAGTCAGCGGAGTCAATGGGATTAAGTAGAGTGTTTTGTGAGTTAATGGAGTGTGATTTGTGATTTGCAGTCAGTGCTCAATTCGACCTCCTCACTCCCCCTCCCCTGTACTCTTCCCTATCTCTTCAACTCCCATTCACTCTCCCCTTTCCTCCAGGTGCGTCTGATGCTGGTGCTGGCGCCAGCAGCGTGCATCACAGCGGGCATCGCAGTCAGCGCTCTCTTTGACGTCCTCACGCGATCCCTCCCGTCACCTCTCACCCCCTTGCTTTCCCTCCCTGATTCTCTACCCCTCCCACACCACCTCACCCCCCTTCCCCAGGTCCGACTGATGCTGGTGCTGGCGCCAGCAGCGTGAATCACAGCGGGCATCACAGTCAGCTCCTTGTTTGATGTTCCCACTCCCTATGCCCTTTCGCCCCTCGCTCCCTTGCTTCTCGCCTACTCCTCCCCCCGCATTCCCCCCTTCCCAGGTCCGTCTGATGCTGGTGCTGGCGCCCGCAGCGTGCATCACAGCGGGCATCGCAGTCAGCGCCCTCGTTCCCATTGCCTCTGTCCATTCAACCGCTTGTTTCTCTCCCTCCCCCACCCCCCTTTCCCGCAGGTGCGTCTGATGCTGGTGCTGGCGCCAGCAGCGTGCATCACAGCGGGCATCGCAGTGAGCGCTCTGTTTGACGTCCTCACTCGCTCCGTCAAGGCCTCTATCGCTGAGCTCATCGACCTGGCGTATGCTGCTGCCAAGCAGGACAAGGGCGACAAGGAGGAGACGACTGCTGCTGCTGCTGAGGTGAGATTGGGAGAGGGGCAGGTGAACTTTCTCTCTGTCAAGGCCTCTATCGCTGAGCTCATCAACCTGGCGTACGCTGCTGCCAAGCAGGACAAGGGCGACAAGGAGGAGACGGCTGATGGTGCTGCCGCTGAGGTGAGAGGGTAACGAGGACGCGAGGCGTATCCTGTGAGTGAGTGAGAAATGGCCCGGTGAGCTGCTCGCTCCGTCAAGGCCTCAATTGCCGAGCTCATCGACCTGGCGTACGCTGCTGCCAAGCAGGACAAGGGCGAGAAAGAGGAGACTGCTGCTGGTGCTGCTGAGGTGAGATTGGGGGAGGGACAGGTGAACTTTCTCTCTGTCAAGGCCTCTATTGCGGAGCTCATCGACCTGGCGTATGCTGCTGCCAAGCAGGACACGGGCGAGCAGGACACGGGCAAAGGAGCGCAAGACAGCACGGGAGGCGAGGAAGAATAAGGGCAAGGAGGGCGCGGGGGAGGAAAGAGAGTCACTGATGACCCCATTGATTTTGTTGACTCGTTGACCTCATGAGCCTTATGAACCCCGTTTGCCACCCACCGCTGCAGGGGTGGCAAAAGGGGTGAAGCGCTGCAGGGATGACTTTGTTATGAACCCCTTTTGCCACCGCTACAGGCTGCCAGCAAGACTGGCGAGGCGGCAAGCCAGCCAAAGGAGCGCGAGGCAGCAGCAGGGGCGAGGAAGAAGAAGGGCAGGGAGGGCGAGGGAAGTTAGTCACTGATGACCCCATTGACTCTGTTGACACTATGAAATGAACCCCTTTTGCCATTGCCACAGGCTGCCAGCAAGACTGGCGAAGCGGCAAGCCAGGCCAAGGAGCGCAAGGCGGGAGCGGGGAAGAAGAAGAAGGGCAAGGAGGGCGAGGGGGAGGAGGGGAGTCCCTGATTACCCCATTGACTTTGTTGACTTTATGAACCCTACTGCCTTTGCCACAGGCTGCCAGCAAGACTGGCGAAGCAGCGAGCCAGGCCAAGGAGCGCAAGGCGGGAGCGGGGAAGAAGAAGAAGGGCAAGGAGGGCGAGGGGGAGGGGGGGGAGTCTGATGAGGAGCCTGCAGGGGGGGCTGTGGGCGCTGCGGGGAAGAAGGGGGTGAAGGGGAAGGGGAGGGGGAAGGGGGGGAAGGAAGGGGGGAAGGAGAAGGAGAAGGGGAAGGGCAAGTTTCCTCTGGTGGTGCCGGGCGATGCAGCAGCGGTGGGCATTATTCTCATGCTCGTGGGGCTCGCCTTCTACACGGTGAGTGCTGTGCTGGTTTAGATCAAGGTGATTTGTTTGCCTCCCTCCCACACTGTTATGAGTCATCTTAGAAGGCGATGCGGCAGCGGTGGGCATCATTCTCATGCTCGTTGGCCTCACCTTCTACACGGTGAGTTGAGAGGTGTTTCAGATTCAAAATTGGGCGTGTGTTTTACACATTGGGGAAGGGGAAGTCCCCTCGGGTGGTGCCAGTGCCGGGCGGTGCTGCAGCAGTGGGGCTCGCCTTGTACACGGTGAGTTGAGAGGTTTTCAGTTTCGAGAATGGGCTTGTGTTTTTTGTTACACATTGGGGCAGGGGAAGTCCCCTCGGGTGGTGCCGGGCGGTGCTGCAGCAGTGGGGCTCGACTTCTACACGTGAGTTGAGAGATGTTTCAAACTCGCCAGTCGTGCTGTTGGGAACTCGACAGTCGTGCTCTCCTCTCCTCTCCCACACCGACATCAGCAGCCCCATAGGATAGGTGTTCACCCATCGCTTCCTGTATTCCACTCTGCCTCCCTCCTTCCCCCTCCCCCCCCTCCCATCCCCTAGATGCACTGCGTGTGGGCGGCAGCAGATGTGTACTCAGCCCCATACATCGTGCTCTCCTCCCCCACCAGCAAATGTCAAGCCATAGGTGTTCACCCTCCCCTCTCCCTTCCTTCCAACCTGCCTCCTTCCCCCTCCCTCTCTCCTCCTTTCACCCATTGCCTTGTCCCTCTCCCATCTCTCAGATGCACTGTGTGTGGGCGGCAGCAGACGCCTACTCAGCGCCATCCATCGTGCTCTCCTCCCCCACCAGCAAATGTCAAGCCATAGGTGTTCACCCTCCCCTCCCCTGGTCTTCCTCTCTGCCTCTCTCCCGCACATTTCACAGATGCACGGTGTGTGGGGGGCAGCAGACGCCTACTCAGCCCCGTCAATCGTGCTCTCCTCTCCCACCAGCAAATTTCAAGCCATAGGTGTTCACCCCTATGTCCCCTGGTCTTCCTCTCTGTCTCTCTCCCTCACATTTCACAGATGCACTGTGTGTGGGCCGCAGCAGACGCGTACTCAGCGCCATCCATCGTGCTCTCCTCGCCCACCCAAGACGGCGGGCAGTACATCTTTGATGATTTTCGTGAGGGGTATGGATGGCTGCGCCACAACACAGACGAGAATGACAAGGTGCGTCCCTCCCACCAACATCTGTTGTGTGTGTGCATGCGATCTTCAGCACTGCTCCCAACGAGTGACAGCACTGGCCACACTGACAGCACTGCCCACACTGGCACCAACGACGGCGGGCAGTACATGTTTGACGACTTCCGTGAGGCGTATGGGTGGCTGCGCCACAACACCGACGAGAATGACAAGGTGCGTCCCTCCCACCAACATCTGTTGTGTGTGTGCATGCGATCTTCAGCACTGCTCCCAACGAGTGACAGCACTGGCCACACTGACAGCACTGCCCACACTGGCACCAACGACGGCGGGCAGCACATGTTTGACGACTTCCGTGAGGCGTATGGGTGGCTGCGCCACAACACCGACGAGAATGACAAGGTGGGTCCCTCCCACCAACATCTGTTGTGTGTGTGCATACCATCTTCAGCACTGCTCCCAACGAGTGACAGCACTGGCCACAGTGACAGCACTAGCCACACTCCCACCAATGACGGCGGGCAGTACATCTTTGATGACTTCCGTGAGGCATATGGGGTTGCAACACAACACATATGAGAATGACAAGGTGGGTTACATCCCTGCACCACCTCTTTCCCCACGCACTCTCCTTTCCCACATGCCCTCCAAATCTCTCGCATTCCATGCCCGTACATACCCCATAAGATGACGTCATGGTGGGACTATGGGTATCAGACCACGGCAATGGCAAACCGCACAGTCATTGTTGATAACAACACGTGGAACAACACACACATTGCCACTGTTCGCCTTCCCTTCCCCTCCCTTCCCCGCATGCGCCCCTCATGGCATACTCATCCCCACCAGGTGGCATCGTGGTGGGACTATGGGTATCAGAAAACCGCAATGGCAAACCGCACAGTGATAGTGGATAACAACACGTGGAACAACACTCACATTGACACACGCCCTCGCTTCCCCTCATGTGACACTCCCCCCTACCACCAGGTGGCATCGTGGTGGGACTATGGGTACCAGACAACCGCAATGGCAAACCGCACGGTGATAGTTGACAAAAACACGTGGAACAACACTCACATCGCTGCATGCCCTCCCTCTCCCCCCTTGCATATTCACCCCCACCAGGTGGCATCGTGGTGGGATTACGGGTACCAGACGACCGCTATGGCGAACCGCACAGTCATTGTCGATAACAACACGTGGAACAACACGCACATCGCCACAGTTGGCATGGCCATGTCATCGCGGGAGAAGGATGCATGGGCGATTTACCGCTCCATCGACGTGAAATACGTGTTCGTGGTGTTTGGAGGTGGGTCGGCAGTGGCAAACGCACAGTGCAAGCACGTGCTGGGAGTGCTGGGAGTGCCGGTTAAGGGGTGGGCCTTGCGGTGTTGAGAGGTGGACTTTTGGTGTTCGAAAGGGTGCCTTCACACGTGGAACAACACTCACATCGCCACGGTGGGCATGGCCATGTCTTCACAGCAGGGGAAAAGCACGTGCTGGGAGTGCTGGTTAAGGGGTGAGCTTTGCGGTGTTGAGAGGTGGACTTTTGGTGTTGGAAAGGGTGCCTTGCCTTCACACGTGGAACAACACGCACATCGCCACGGTGGGCATGGCCATGTCATCGAGGGAGAAGGACGCGTGGGCCATCTACTGATCCATCGACGTGAAATACGTCTTCGTGGTGTTCGGAGGTAGGCTTTCTCGTGCTGAGAGATGTGTGGCATGTGTAAGATGAGATGAGAGGGAGAAGGAAGCGTGGGCCATCTATCGCTCCATCGACGTCAAATACGTCTTCGTGGTGTTCGGAGGTGGGTTTTGTGACAAATATTTCAGCCTCCAATACATAGTGTCAGTCAACAAACGCGTGCCTTGTGGGCTGTCCCAGCCAGCGATGACATCGCAAGTTCTTCTGCATAATGCGGATTGCAACACCACTCACACAATCCATTTCCCGTTTCTCCGCTCCTCCCCCCCACTTTTGCGGGCACACACCATCTCCAATCCGCGGAAACACACCGCATTCCCGTTTCTCCGCTCCACCGTGCTTTCCATCCAACAGGCATGGTGGGCTATCTTAGCGATGACATCAACAAGTTCCTCTGGATGGTGCGGATTGCGACCTGCACCACATAATCTTTCCAGCCCCTCCCCCATTTGCCCTCACCCCTCCCCCTATCCACAGGCATGGTGGGCTACCCCAGCGACGACATCAACTAGTTCCTCTGGATGGTGCGGATTGTGGCACCTGCGCTGCGCCTCACACACTATCCTCCCTCCCGCCAACCACCATGTCCCCTGTCTCCCCCTACCCCACAGGCATGGTGGGCTATCCCAGCGATGACATCAACTAGTTCCTCTGGATGGTGCGGATTGTGGCACCTGCGCTGCGCCTCACACACTATCCTCCCTCCCGCCAACCACCATGTCCCCTGTCTCCCCCTACCCCACAGGCATGGTGGGCTATCCCAGCGATGACATCAACTAGTTCCTCTGGATGGTGCGGATTGTGGCACCTGCGCTGCGCCTCACACACTATCCTCCCTCCCGCCAACCACCATGTCCCCTGTCTCCCCCTACCCCACAGGCATGGTGGGCTATCCCAGCGATGACATCAACTAGTTCCTCTGGATGGTGCGGATTGTGGCACCTGCGCTGCGCCTCACACACTATCCTCCCTCCCGCCAACCACCATGTCCCCTGTCTCCCCCTACCCCACAGGCATGGTGGGCTATCCCAGCGATGACATCAACTAGTTCCTCTGGATGGTGCGGATTGTGGCACCTGCGCTGCGCCTCACACACTATCCTCCCTCCCGCCAACCACCATGTCCCCTGTCTCCCCCTACCCCACAGGCATGGTGGGCTATCCCAGCGATGACATCAACTAGTTCCTCTGGATGGTGCGGATTGTGGCACCTGCGCTGCGCCTCACACACTATCCTCCCTCCCGCCAACCACCATGTCCCCTGTCTCCCCCTACCCCACAGGCATGGTGGGCTATCCCAGCGACGACATCAACAAGTTCCTCTGGATGGTGCGCATTGGAGGCGGTGTGTTTCCGCGGATCAAGGAGCCCGACTACCTGGTGAGTGCATAGGGGGATGGCTTCTGAGCATCTTAGCTGTGATAACAAGTCAGTTGGTTTGAATTGGAGGCGGGGTGTTTCCGCGGATCAAGGAGCCCGACTACCTGGTGAGGGCACGGGGATGGTTATTGAGAATCTTAGATGTGGTTACAAGTATAATGTTTCGAATCGGAGGCGGTGTGTTTCCGCGGATCAAGGAGCCCGACTACCTGGTGAGCGCCCTGGAGTGTTATTTTGGGAATCTTACGGGGATGGGGATGGGGATGGGGAATGGTTGTAAGGAGCACAATCAACAGGTGTGTGCAATGGAATGGCTTTTTAACACCTAATTAGCAATTCCAATCTAGATGGTGCGCTCTAATCCCATTCCCCTTCCACTCCCCCTCAACCCCCCTCCCCATTTCCCCGGCCAGAACAACGGCAACTACCGGGTGGGTGGTGAGGCCACCAGCACCATGCCTTGAAGCCCCTCATATGCTCCTTCCCGCCCTCCCCCACTCCCCCTCCCGCCTTTCTCCCACCCCCCCCCTCCTCTGGCCAGAACAACGGCAACTACCGGGTGGATGGGGAGGCCACCAGCACCATGCCTTGAAGCCGCTCAAAATCTCCTTCCCCCCTCCCTTTCCTCCCCGCCCCCCCCGTCTCCCCTTCCCCCCGTCCCCCCCCACCTCCAGAACAACGGCAACTACCGGGTGGATGGTGAGGCCACCAGCACCATGCTCAACTGCCTCATGTACAAGCTCTCCTACTACAGGTGAGAGATGTACTCGATATAAGCTCATTCACTTGTTTGTACAAGCTCTCCTCAGCTGCTCACCAGCACCATGCTCAACTGCCTCATGTACAAGCTCTCCTACTACAGGTGAGAGATGTACTCGATATAGGCTCACTCGTTAGTACAAGCTTTCCTCGACTGCTCACCAGCACCATGCTCAACTGTCTCATGTACAAGCTCTCCTACTACAGGTGAGATACGTACTCCCTATAAGCTCACTCGCTTGTACCGGTAGCTCTGCTCGACTGCCTCATGTACAAGCTCTCTTCCTACAGGTCAGATACGTACTCGATTTAAGCTCACCTGCTTGTAGCTCTGCTCGACTGCCTCATGTACAAGCTCTCCTAAGTATGGAATGTATTGGAGGTAGCTCGTGTGTACAAGCTCTCCTCAACTGCTCACTCTAGCTCTGCTCACTCTAGCTCTGCTCACTTCATATATGTGCATGGGTGTGTTTTCTCCTCCGTGCTCGGTGCTGGCAGGTTTGCGGAGGTGGACGGCGGGAGGGGCTTTGACCGAGTGAGGCGCACGGAGATAGGCAAGAAGAACATCAAGCTCACGCACTTTGAGGAGGTGAGTTTATATATACATATATATATATATATATATATATATATTGGAATTTGGAATATTAGATACGGTAGCATGCCGATGATGTACTTAGCTGCTCAGCCTTTGCACCTCGAAAGGCTTACGGAGAAGGCAAGAGCAAAAACATCAATTTGACGCACTTTGAGGCGGTAAGAGGCCGCAGGTTGGTGTGGAGTTGTAGACTCTCTCAACATGTGCAGCGAATGCTAGGCGGCTGTTCCTTTTAATGGCGAAGTGATGAAACCAAGGCAGGAGGAAACTGGGTGCATGACGTTTCGTGTAGTTCTTACAGCCGCACTTTGTTGTCATTCCCCAAACCACATTTGCGCCTGTCTGATGTTCAGAATGTTCTGTCTCAAAAATATGGGCTGCTTGTTTATAAATCCTGTTCTTTTTGTTCAGGTGTTCACTTCGCAGCACTGGATGGTCCGCATTTATCGTCTCAAGGAGCCCAGAAATCGGCCTCGTGGGACTGGCAAGAGGCTCACACGCGTCTCTGTAAGTAGCTCAGATTGTTTTGCTGCAGTTTTTTTTGGAGATGGTTCCATCGGTTTATATCTTGTGACTCTTGTATGTCATATGCCCTATTCAACTCACTTTCTCTATCAGGCCAACAAGGGGAAGGGTCGCTACTAAAGTGTAGCATAAGCAATTGGTTTGCTTCATAGAGAACATCGAGTAGCGCTTGAAAAAAGCGAACTCTATGACACGCCCTTGTGTTCTGCCATGTGATGAAGCTTACTTTTGCTAACGATTGTACGCATAATGGATGACTTATTTTGTTGACAGAAAAGCGTGTGATATGGTCCGTACACTACCCTCTTTGCATTAGTCAGAAGTATGTGTGATTGTTTCGGAAATGCCGCAAAACTACGGGCCCAGTCAAATTGTAAACCAATCACGTACGAAGAGCTGCCCCTGCTTTTGAGACTCCCTGCTTAGCTGTAATGCATTCTCGAGGTCTATTGACCAATCACTGGAATCACTGCCACTGCTGTCCCACGTGGTTCCCAAAGAACCCGATTTGACCTCAAATTGTTCCGGCCTTTCCAGCAATCCAAACATGCCAAGTGGCGACAATATTGCTGTAGCTTGCTTGGCGAGAAACTCTATCCAGCAATTTGTTCCGGGCACAGCACAGAACTAACAAGCACACCGCAACAGACACATCTTGGCCTGGCTTCTTACATCTGAGCCAAATATTCCAGAATTCATCGGAGCTTCAGGTCCTGGCTATTTGCTTGACGTTCCGATTTTTGTCAGGCAATCCACATCCAGAGAGGGTGGAAACCCGAGTGACTGTGTGTCTTTTGTTCGCTGGTCGATTTCCCGGCTTGGCTGACACCCATGGCGTTCTCGCGGAGTCTATTTCGTGCAGCAAACGCCGTGAAGAGGGTGGGTATTTGCGTCGTCATGCTTACTCCTCTGTGCAGTGCAGAAAACTAGAATAAGAAACCATGTGCTATGTTCTTACGATGTCAGCTGTCTGTCATGTTTTCATACTTTCCGTGCGATATCGCATGCTAAGCCAATAATGTTTCTTTCCTGATGTCAGAGCCAGAAGGATGGGAGTTTCTCACGCCTCTTCAATCAGGCATTTCGCCCATTGACCACGGTAAGCGACAGAAAGTACCGGATGAGATTTGAGAAAATGCTGAATGTATGGATTTTCGTCGCGGTCCACGCATTCGCCTGATCTCTTCCATGCCTGATCCCTGCTATGCCTAATTCTTTCATGCCTTATCCTTTCCATGCCTGATCCCTGCTTGATCCCTTCCATGCCTGATCCGTGCCATGCCTAATTCTTCCCATGCCTGATCCTTTCAATGCATGATCCCTTCCATACCTGATCCCTGCCATGACTAATCTTAAAGTAAACCGTTCCGCTCCCCACTACACGTTTGGCGTACAAATCGACGCTGCTGAAGGGCAGATTCCGCTAACTTCTGAAATGCTTGGCGTTCTCGCACCCGTTCCATCCTCCCGTTCTTCCGCCGTGTGTGCGTTTCAGGAGCTGCACGCGAAGCTGCAGGAGGTGGTGCCGCAGCAGCAGGAGCGCATTCGTCAGATCAAGTCGCACTACGGCAACCTGTCCATGGGCAAGGTCACCGTCAACATGGTGAGCCGCGCTCTTTTTTTCTCCCTCTCCTTGAGTCGATCGATCGCACGGTCATATGCACTCACCACATTTCATCAAGTCGCACTACGGCAGCCTGTCCATGGGCAAGGTCACCGTCAACATGGTGAGCCGATCTCTTTCTCCCCCTCTCCCTCTCAAACGGTCCTTTGTATTGATTCAGGCAGGGTACAAACATGCGAATGTATCCCCATCTCGCTCTCCCTCTCTCGCTCTCTCTCCCCCACTCTCATCGTCTGATTACCGCTTTGATTCGAGGCAAGTGTCGCATTTATCTTCTCACTCTAATTTCTATGAGAGACATTGCGTTCAACCCGGGCGGCTACACTGGTGGCATTGCTCATCTTTGTTTCTGCTCTCCGTCCTTTTCTTGCTCATTTGTGTGAGCAGGCGATCGGAGGAATGCGAGGGGTGAAGGGGTTGGTGTGGGAGACTTCCCAGCTCGACCCCGAGCAGGTATGCAGCAAATGCATGGATTGCAGAGCCAAGTTGTGAGCCAATCTAGATCACAACTCGACCCCGTACAGATGCACAACCGCTGCATGCTTTTAGTGCCTCTCCGCCCATGAACAACTCTGTAATCGCGTGAATGCGTCGACCATTGCCTTCCCTTCCCCCTCCTCGTCTCCCTCGTTTCCTTCCCCACTTCCCCGCGCCCATCCTCTGTTTCCTGCCCTCCCTTCCCCAGGGCATCAAGTTCCGCGGGTACAGCATCCCCGAGTGCCAGCACCTGCTACCCAAGGCCGTGATAGATGGCGAGCCCATGCCCGAGGGGCTGCTCTGGCTGCTCCTGACGGGCGAGGTACGCTTCTCGCACACAGAGTTTCGCTTTTCCCCCAGTGCCTGCGCTTGCTGCCCAAGGCCGTGATAGATGGCGAGCCCATGCCCGAGGGGTTGCTCTGGCTGCTGCTCACCGGCGAGGTACGCAGAGGGGGGGTGCTGTGCGTGTGGGCACTCGCACACACACACACACACAGTCAGACTGTAGCATATCGCACACGCGTAGACAGCTTCTCGACTAACCCCAAGAGCCAGCACCTGCTGCCCAAGGCCGTGATAGATGGCGAGCCCATGACCGAGGGGCTGCTCTGGCTGCTGCTCACCGGCGAGGTACGCTTCTCGCACACATAGACAGACTGCAGCATATTACACACGCGTACACAGGTTTTTGCTTTTCCCCGAGTGCCTGCGCTTGCTGCCCAAGGCCGTGATAGATGGAGAGCCCATGCCCGAGGGGCTGCTCTGGCTGCTGCTCACCGGCGAGGTACGCTGCTCCCGCACGCACAAACACACACACACGCACAAGCACACAGACATGCGTGCACGAACACATGCACGCACTGACTCCTTCGCTCGCAAACGCTCTCACCCCTGCAGATTCTACACCCGCTTCCCGTCCGCTGTGTGTCCTGTCACTCTCCTCGTCCCCAATACAGGTGCCCACCAGAGAGCAGGCGGCCACAGTCACGCACGAGATGTATCTTGAGTCGAGCAAGAAACGTGTCCGCTGTGTGTCCTGTCAACTCCTCGTCCCCAATACAGGTGCCCACCAGAGAGCAGGCGGCCACAGTGACGCATGAGCTGCACGAGCGAGCCAAGATGCCGGGTATGTTGTGCTGGGGGCGTGGGTATTAAGTTGCCTGGTACGCCTGGCAGGGGGCGTGGTTGTTAAGTTGCCTGGTACGCCTAGCAGGGGGTGTGGTTATCAAGTTTCCTGGTACGTCTCGTATGGGTTGTGGGTGTTTGAAAGATCCCTGATTCGTTTGGAGGGGGTGTGGGAGAATGTCGAACTAGACTCTTATCATCCCTCCGTCCCTCCCTCCTCCCTTGAACACCCCTTCCCACCAGAGTACGTGCACACGGTGCTGAACGCCCTCCCCAAGGACATGCACCCCATGACGCAGCTGTCCATCGGCGTCATGCCTCTTCTCACATAACCTTCCCCTCTCTCCCCGTCCATTGCATCATTGATCAGAGTACGTCTACACGGTGCTCAACGCCCTCCCCAGGGATATGCACCCCATGACGCAGCTGTCCATTGGCGTCATGGCGCTGCAGAAGGGCAGCCGCTTTGCACGAGCGTACCACGAGGGCATGCCCAAGAGCAAGTACTGGCACCTCGCGTATGAGGATGCGCTTGACTTAATTGCTACTCTGCCCCAGGTCAGTGCCAAGATTACCTTCGGTTCAGCCCAATATGGCTTCACACCACTGAGCGTACCTTGAGGGCATGCTCAAGAGCAAGTACTGGCACCTGGCTTACGAAGATGCCTTGGATCTGATTGCGACCCTGCCCCAGGTGAGTTCAGTGTGCCCCGTGGTAATTGAGAGCTCTATACCAAGCACTACCACGAGGGCATGCCCAAGAGCAAGTACTGGCACCTGGCTTATGAGGACGCGTTGGACTTGATTGCCACGCTGCCTCAGGTGAGTTGGTGGCATGCAATCGAGTGACAGAGTGAGTGCCCTATACAAGCCATGTACCACGAGGGCATGCCCAAGAGCAAGTACTGGCACCTGGCATACGAAGACGCGCTTGACCTCATTGCCACGCTGCCTCAGGTGAGTGCTGCGAGCACCTCTAGTTGATATAGCTTCGCGTGCGCGTACCACGAGGGCATGCCCAAGAGCAAGTACTGGCACCTGGCGTACGAGGATGCCTTGGATCTGATTGCCACTCTGCCCCAGGTCAGGTCTGAGAGTATGTGCCATTGAGTGCTCTATTCCTGTACCACGAGGGCATGCCCGAGAGCAAGTACTGGCACCTCGCTTATGAGGATGCCCTGGATCTCATTGCTACTCTGCCCCAGGTGGGTACCGCTTGCCCCGTGTTCATGATTGCATGCCTGGTGTGTGACGTATCACGAGGGCATGCCTAAGAGCAAGTACTGGCACCTGGCTTACGAGGATGCTCTGGATTTAATTGCCACGCTGCCCCAGGTCCGTACAATACAGTGTACCCCATGTTGGTGATGACTGAGTGCTCTCTTCCACTACCACGAGGGCATGCCCAAGAGCAAGTACTGGCACGGCACCTGGCTTATGAAGATGCTCTCGATCTGATTGCTATGCTTCCTCAGGTCAGCACAGCTTGCCCTGTTTTCATACTGAATGACTAGTATGGCGTACCACGAGGGCATGCCCAAGAGCAAGTACTGGCACCTGGCTTATGAGGATGCCTTGGATCTGATTGCAACTCTGCTGTCAGTACCTGCCATTGAGTCCTCTATACGAGTACCACGAGGGCATGCCCAAGAGCAAGTACTGGCACCTGGCATACGAGGATGCTTTTGACTTGATTGCGACCCAATCAAAGGTCAATGCTGAGAGTACCTTTGGTTAGTGCTGATATGGCTTCACACCGCCAAGAGTACCACGACGGCATGCCCAAGAGCAAGTACTGGCACCTCGCCTGCATGTGCATGACCTTCCTAGATTTGCTCTGACCATATTGCTCCCTTAACTCCACTTCTTTCCTTCACTCCACCAGGTGGCAGCGCACATCTACCGGCACACATATAAGAACAGAAACTTCCATTTGTGCATGAGTTCCGTACATGTGATGTGACTGTGTCGCTCCCTTCACTCCATACATCCCACCAGGTGGCAGCGCACATCTACAGGCACACGTTCAAGGACGGCAAGAGCATCCCGCCCAATGAGAAGGTCGACTTGACTATGTCGCCAACCCCTCCCATTCACTCCACCCCATTGCATTGCGACCTCCCCAACCCCTAAACCCCTGATCCCACCAGGTGGCAGCACACATCTACAGGCACACGTTCAAGGACGGCAAGATCATCCCACCCAACGAGAAGCTCGACTACGCCGCCAACTCCTCCCATTCACCTCACTGCATTGCGACCTCCCTAATCCCTCAACCCTGACCCATTCACCTCATCCCACCAGGTAGCGGCGCACATCTACAGGCACACGTTCAAGGACGGCAAGATCATCCCACCCAATGACAAGCTCGACTACGCCGCTAACTTCGCGCACATGCTGGGCTTTAACGACCCCCAGTTCCACGACCTCATGCGCCTCTACCTCACCATCCACGCGTGAGTCCACGCACTGTGCCAAACCCTAGGTCTTCAGCTGGCAGCCTGAACTGAGGACTCAAACACAAGTGAGTGTGGCCCACTACCCTCCATTGCTGGGTGTAAATTGAATCCTTTGCATCGCGAAACACATGTTGGGCTTTAATCACCTGCATTTCCTCGACCTCATGCGCCTCTACCTCACCATCCACGCGTGAGCCCCTCTCCCCTTTCAACCGTAGGCCCTTGGCTTACGGGTCAAGGTTTTGGGTTCGGGTTTAGGTTTTTGGTTCAGTTAATCCATGCTGGGCTTTAACGACCCCCAGTTCCACGACCTCATGCGCCTCTACCTCACCATCCACGCGTGAGTGGGATTCACTGCCCTCAACCCTAGGCGTTTGGGGTTTAGGTCAGGGCTTAGGCTTGCGGGTTGATCGGTGAACACATGCTGGGCTTTAACGACCCCCAGTTCCACGACCTCATGCGCCTCACGATCCACGCGTGAGCCCTGCATACCCGACTTTAGAATTTAGGGTCTAGGGTTTGGGCTTTGTGTTGATTGGGTAACACATGCTGGGTGTTAACGACCCGCAGTTCCATGACCTCATGCGCCTCTACCTCACCATCCACGCGTGAGCACATGCCCTATTGTAAAGAATAGTACTTTACCAGCGTTCCCTTGCCTGCATCCTCCTTGTCATGGCCTCCCATGCGTGTTGAATGAATTTTGTGTGCTCTTCTTTCTGTGTGTGTTTGTGTCTGTGTGTTTGTGTGTGTGTGTGTGTGTGTGTGTGTGTGTGTGTGTGTCTGTGTGTCTGTGTCTGTGTGTGTCTGTGTGGGTGTGTGTGTGTGTGTGTGTGTGTGTGTGTGTGTGTGTGTGTGTGTGTGTGTGTGTGTGTGTGTGTGTGTGCGTGCATGCACGCGCGCGCGCGTGTGTAACTCACGGCAAGCAGGGATCACGAGGGAGGCAACGTCAGCGCCCATGCCACCCACCTGGTGAGAGCAACCACCACTCCCCTCGCCTCCCGCTCATCCCACTCCCCCACTGTCTCGCCCACTCTCCCCCCTCTCCCCACCCACCCCGCTCTCCCATCCTTACCTCCACTGTCTAGCCCACTTCCTCTTCCCTCAACTCCTCATCATCGCGCCCGACCACAGTGCACCCATGACCCTCATTGTCTCCTCCTCTCCCCAATCTTTCCTCCTCAACCTACTCCCTCTGCATCTCTCTCTTCCTCCTCCTCCCCTCAACCCTTCTCTCTCCCCTCCACCCCGCCCCTAACCGCCTCCCCTTCCTTAACAGGTGGGCAGCGCCCTCTCAGACCCCTACCTCTCCTTCGCGGCTGGCCTCAACGGTCTCGCGGGTCCTCTGCACGGCCTCGCCAACCAGGCAAGTCGCCAGTGCTGCTCCACATGTCGACTCAGTGCAAATTCAAGAGCTGCCTGCAGTAGTACCAGTCACCCTCCCACTCTTTCTGTCAGGGATGGAGAGTAGGCCTTCTCACATGCGAACCTCGCCCCTTCTCCGCCCCGATTCATTTCCATCCCCCACAACAGGAGGTGCTGCGGTGGCTTGAGGAGGTGAAAGCCGACGTGGGGGAGGAAGCTGGGAAGGACAGCTGAGGGACTTTGTGTGGCGCACGCTGCAGAGAATACCTCCCTCCCTCTCTTCCTCACTCCCTTGCTCCCCTCCACTCTCCCCACTTCTTGCCTGCTCTCACAACAGGAGGTGCTGCGGTGGCTTGAGGAAGTCAAAGCGGACGTGGGGGAGGAAGCTGGAAAGGACGAGCTGAGGGACTTCGTGTGGCGCACGCTGCAGAGCGGCAAGGTTGTGCCGGGCTATGGCCACGCAGTGCTGAGGGTGACGGACCCGCGCTACAGCTGCCAGCGCCAGTTCGCTCTCAAGCACCTGCCTCATGACCCCACGTTCAAGCTCGTGAGTGGGTATACCTTTTTCTAGGAGGAGTTCCCACGGTGGTGCCGGGGTATGGCCATGCAGTGCTGAGGGTGACGGACCCCCGCTACAGCTGCCAGCGCCAGTTCACCCTCGTGGCGCCAGTGCCACTCATTTCCCTGTTCAGTGTCCCCTTGTGCACACTGCCTCCCTGTGCGGTATCCTTCTCTCTCTCCCTGCTCCATGTATCCAACCTCTATGAGGTGGGCCGCACATTCTCCTTGAGACCGGCAAGGTCAAGAACCCCTGGCCCAACGTGGACTCTCACACACCATCACTACCAGTCACTTCCCTGCACACTGTTTTCCTGTCCCTTATACGTCTCTCCCTGCTGCAGGTATCCAATCTCGTGGTGCCGCACATCCTCCTTGAGACCGGCAAGGTCAAGAACCCCTGGCCCAACGTGGACGCTCATACACCGTGTCACAGCCACTCACTCCCCACCTTTCTCTGTGCATTGTCTCCCCCACCCCATCCTTCTCTCTCCCTGCTGCAGGTATCCAACCTCTATGAGGTGGTGCCGCACATCCTGCTCGAGACCAGCAAGGTGAAGAACCCCTGGCCCAACGTGGACGCTCACAGCATCACTGCCACTCATTCCCCACCTTTCTCTGTGCATTGTCTCCCCCATCCTGCTCTCTCCCTGCTGCAGGTATCCAACCTCTACGAGGTGGTGCCGCACATCCTCCTTGAGACAGGCAAGGTGAAGAACCCCTGGCCCAACGTGGACGCTCACAGTGGCGTGCTGCTGCAGCACTATGGGCTCACCGAGGCCAGGTGGGTGGCTCCGTTTGTCCTTTAGTGCGGCACCCCCTTGTGCTCCGTGCACACTGCTCAGTGCTGCTCGTCAAATCATCTATCTCTCAACGGCCTTTTTTTCCTTGCCTTTTTTCTCCCTCGCCTTTTTTCTCCCTCCACTTCTCCTCCTCTCCCCCCGTCTCTCTCTCCCCCGTGCTCGTTGCCTCTCAAGGTGATCACTTAGTGGCTAATAATTGACGTTTCTCCCCTCTCTCTCCCCCCACCTCCCCTCTCTCCCCCCACCTCCTCTCTCTCCCCACTGTTCTCGCTCCTCTCTCTGCCCCCTACTCTCCCTGCAGCTACTACACGGTGCTCTTTGGCGTCTCGCGAGCCATGGGAGTGCTCTCTCAGGTGGGTCTGTTGCCTCAGGTGCTCCCTCAGGTGGTTTGTTGGACGGGTGTGCTACTCTCAGGTGCAGTTCCAGGTGTTATCGCAGGTGGGTAATTCTCACCATCTCACTACTCCAAAACTTTTCAGTCCCTTACAGTGCCCTCCATCTTTGAGGCGACTCAATCATCTCTTGTGGGACCATGCCTTGGGTTTCCCCATCGAGCGTCCGAATATCATATCTCTCGTCTGGACACATACCTTCCATCACTGTCTCAAACACCCCTGCTTGTCACTTTCGTCCTTTCCCCCTCGCCCCCTTCTCCTCTCCCTGCCTGCAGCTCGTGTGGGACCGTGCCCTGGCATCACCCTCGATCGAATCGACACAAGTCCCATCACTGTCCCTATCAACCCTTCTAATCCTTCTCTTCTTTTCCTGCCCGCCCCCTCTTCCTGTCCCCTCTCCATCTTCCTCTCATCTGCCCCTTCCCCTCCCTGCAGCTGGTGTCGGACCGTGCCCTGGGCTTCCCCATCGAACGCCCCAAGAGGATTACGCTCGACTGGAGATTGCATCACCATCCTTAACACCCCCGTGTCCCCCCATCTCTCTCTCCCTCACTGCAGCTCGTGTGGGACCGCGCCCTGGGTTTTGCCATCGAGCGCCCCAAGAGCATCACGCTCGACTGGATCGAGGAGTTTGCTTCGGACAAGGCGCATAAGGAGGAGCTCGAGCACAAGCACTAGAGGGGACGGCTTGAGCAAGGGGCAGGGGAAAGAGCATCACGCTTGACTGGATCGAGGAGTTTGCTTCGGACAAGGCGCATAAGGAGGAGCAGCACGCGCACGAGCACAAGCATTAGAGGTGGAAGGACGAATGAGCTTGAAGTGGGGGGAGGCGAACGAGCATTGGACAAGAGTAGAAGCATGAGATTAGGTCGAGGAGCTGGGCTCGGAAAAGGCGCACGAGAAGGAGCAACATGCGCACGAGCACAAGCATTAGAGAGGCTCACAGTCGCACACAAGCTCATCCCGTTCCCCATCATCCCACACTCCCATCCCACACGCCCATCCCACACTCGCATCCCACACTCCCATCCCACAAGCCCATCTCACAAGCCCTTCACCCCACAAGCACATCCCACTTCCCTCCCACCGCTGCTCAAATTAAACATACCCATCCCACACCCCAAGCGCAGATGACCGGCAAAGAACCCGCCAACCCTATCATCATAGGTCTATAGTTCACATCCACCCCCCATCCCACCTCCTCCTCAACCATGCCCGGGCTAGTAAATAGAACCTCCCATCACCCATCCATCCATCCATCCTTCCATGCACCCATGTCCATGCCTGTGCATTGCACTCCACCCATCCCCCTTTCACTATCCCCCATGACTAAGAGTTACCATGTCTTAGCCGTGTGCACAGAAGTGTTCCTGTTTACCTCGTGTGTTTTAGATGATTACAGCTGTATATTCTGAATGTAGCTATTAAATGAGGAAAAAATACACATCTAATGGTACCACTTCTGCTAGCTCTCAAATGGAAGTACCGTATCAACAAGAGGGAGTTGACAGCATGGAAAGATACGGTACATACTCGGACCCGTTTTTGCATGAGTGCAGCCCCAATCCAACACACTCTTCTGGGCATGCTATGCATACGTACGGATGGCATATGGTACCTAGAAGCATCAGACATCATGGTGACAGAGCTAAAATGCCTGCAGCAATATTTTACACGTACAAAAGGTGCGCTCAGCATGTATAAATCGGAATTATGTTACTACATTAATATACAATACGAGGATCTATCATAATCAGTATTATATATTCTACGCATGAAATATGTACAGCATATCTAGTGTTGCAATCATGTCCTTGCATACCTCCCTGCAAATCCCACTCCACCACATCTAACTCCACACCTCACTGCACACCCCTCAACCCCTCCACACATGCGCGTACCCTTCCCACCCTTTCATACTTCTCCGCATTTTCCCCAACCCTGCTGTTTGTATTTGCTGCACCCGCCCTCCTGTCAACCCCACCATCACCCCCACCTCCTTCACAGTCTTCCGCATCTCACTACCCCTCCCCCCCTGCTTTGCACAACGGACGATGATTTGCCGCCCCTGTTGCCGCCCGGCGCCGCCCCCAAGCCCGTTACCCCCACAGTTGCAATCAGCATAGCAGCCATCCGTCAGGAGCGAATCACTTGGGCGGCAAATGATGGAGAGAGGATCTGCCGGGCGGCAATCTTTCAGAAGGGAATCGTTTGGGCGGCAACCTTCCACGAAAAAATCAGCCGGGCGGCAATCTTCGAGGTTCGCCGGGCGGCAATCTTCCAAAAGAGAATCTGGCAGGCCGAATCTGAGTTGAATGATGGCTCGCTCTTTGGGTGTGAGCTCGAGAATTGCTTGCTTCAATGCGCCCTGCACCTCCTGCTGCATGTAGCGAGTCTCAGGGCACTCTATAGTGGGGTCAGGGATGGTGGACTGGAGGGAGGGATTAAGGGGAAGGGGGAGGATTACGGCTCGCTCTTTGGGTGTGAGAGCCCAAGAAAATGGCTTGCTTCCACGTGGCCTCCAGCTCCTGCTGCACATAGCGAGTCTCGGGGCACTCTATAGCGGGGTCAGGGATGATGGACTGGAGTGGGGCGAGGAAGAATAAGTATTGGAAGAGAGGAAAGTGAGCCGGAAGAGAGGGCGAAAAGGGAGTTGCTTGAATGGGACCACTCTCCAGAGCGAATGGAGAGTTGAATGATGGCTCGTTCTTTGGGTGTGAGCCCAAGAATGGCATGCTTCCACGTGCCCTGCACCTCCTGCTGCACGTTGCGGGTCTCGGGGCACTCTATAGCGGGGTCAGGTCAGGGATGGTGGACTGGAGGAGGGGGAAGGGGGGGGCGCTCAATGGGGGGAGTTAGGGAAGGTGGGGGACGAGGGGAAGGTGGGCTGAACGGGATGAATGGGATGGTGAAAGAGGAGAGCAGAAGAGCGATTCGCTTTACAGGGCCAGGCTTATAGACCAGGAAGCATGACGCATGTTACATGGTACATGGTATACGGTGCATGGTGTGCATGGTGCTTTGTACATGGTACGTGGTATACGGTGCATGGTGTGCATGGTGCTTTGTACATGGTACATGGTGCATAGTAGTGGCACTCGGTAAATGGTACATGGTAAAATCAAGGCTATGGAACACGCATGTACATTCAATATACATGACCTATGTCTCACCCACTCACGCCAAAACTCTCCCCTGTCCCCGCGTCCCCTTCCAAAGTGACTTTTGAGTCAACTCTCAAGTCAGCTTCTCAAGCACTCACCCCAAGACTCTCCCCGGTCCCCACGTCCCCTTCCAACGACCGAGGCTATTTTTGAGTCGACTCAAGAATAATTTCACACTCACCCCAAGAATCTCCCCTGTCCCCACGTCCCCTTCCAAAGACCGAGGCGAGCACACCGATCCCGGGGTGAGTCCGCGCTTCTGCTTTGACTCAAACGGTGGTGCTGACGTGGATAGCTGTGCTGACGTGGACGGTGGTGCTGACGTGGATGGTAGTGCTGACGTGGATGGCTGTGAACGTTGACGGCGGGCGAGCATGTGCTGACGGTGCATGTGCGCCTGAAGGGAGGAGGGGGGGGATCGGAAGCAGGAAATTTTGGGAACGTGAGTTGGTGGAGGGGAGGATAAGGGCAAAGGAAGAGTGAGGGATGGAAAGGGGGGAGAGGGGCAGGAAGAATGAGTGGATAGGAGACCTTCTTGAAGATGATGTGAGAAGATGAGATGTCAATGGCAGGGCATGAATTCAATCAGCAACAGCCGATTGGAGGCAGTGTGGTGAATTAATAACACGTGGCATCTCATGACACGTGGCATCTCTGCATTGGCAGATCTGCTTATCCTCTGCCACACATGTGAATCACGACAGATTGTGTATGTGCAAGAATTATGGCATGTGGTCAAGGACATGTGTATGTGCCACGTGTATCTATGTGCATGTGCCACGTGGCACTCACAGGGAGCTTGATTATGGACGATTGGTCCACGGATGATTGGATGATGCTGTGTCGGATCCACCAATAGCAGTACGTGGAGAGCCGGAATCCACGGCCAGGATCGAATCTCTCTATACCCTTTATAAGCCCCCCGTATCCCGCCTGTTGCAGGGACGAGACAAAGCGTAAACATAGCAACAAAATGTATGGAAGCGACAAAGACTGACAAAAAGCCTGGTGAACATTGAACAGTAATGAGGTCAACACAAAGAATAACAAAGCCACCTAACATCTCATTCACTGCAAACAAGTTGACGATAAACTATGTATCATGTTGCTCACTATAATATACCCTCACCCGAATGTTCTTTCACTATAGTCACATCTTACCATGATAAAGATTCTCACAGTCGCTCCCTTCTCGTGTATCTCTGCACCAGAACAACCACCATCCCTCCACACGCATCTCCTCACCTCAATCACCCTCAAATATAATCACCCTGTATTCGTTTAAGTCACACCTTACCACGATCAAGTTCCCCACAGTCACTCCCCTGCTCGCACATCTCCGAGCCAGACCCACCACCATCCCACCATTCGCATCCAGTAGTTTTCCCATCCCCTCCCTCCCCCTCTTCTCCGTCTCCCAGTCCTCCTTCCCCATCCCCTCCCTCTCCATCCTCTCCCTCTCATACTCCTCTCTCCCCCTCCCCTCCGTCCCCCACTCATCCATCCCCCTCCCCCCCCTCCTTTTCTTCTCAGAGGCCGTCTTTGCAGGCAAGCTCGCGTGCTGGGAATCCTGATACGAACACCACTCGACCGCACTGCACCGCTCTCGCGACCTCCTTAATCTCAGCAGATCCTGCACGGCCCGGACGTACTTAATCTCCTCCTCGCGCGTAAGGCGCCGTGCCTCCTTCGCCCACATGAGGTGCAATGACGATCCGAGACCTCTGGAACCCACACCTATCGGATGCACACGACACATCTGTCGGCCCACTCGTCTGTCCGAAAAACTCCGCAGCTCATCTTGAAGATGCTGCTGCTCGCTCCTTCGCCGCTGGTTTGGTCTCTCGCGCTTCACAACCGGTTTGATTCCCTTCTCGGGCGAGCTTTGACTTGAAGATTTACGAGAGTTTAGAGACGTCTCACGCGGCTTACGAGAGGCTACGAGGAGTTTCAGGGCCGGATTCGCACCGGATCTCGCTCTTGACGGGTCCGCCGTTTGAGACGTCTCAAAAGTCGTTTCAGGCGACTTAGGCGACTTGCGCGAGGCGGCTACGAGGAGTGTCGTGGCGTGATTCGCGCCGGATCTCGCACTTGACGGGTCCTCCATTTGAGACGTTTCAACAGCCGTTTCAGGCGACTTAGTAGCCGACTTACGAGAGGCGGCTACTACGAGGAGTCTCGTCGCCTGATTCGCAACGGATCTCGCTATTGGCTGGTCCGCGCGCGCGTTGTTGGCGAAGCGCGCCGACCGAGCAGCCGCGTGGAAGGACGTCATTGGCTGGAAGCGGCGCTCACGATGTGGCCTACGGAGCGCGAAACAAGTGCGTGGAACAGTCCAGGCGCGTGCAACAAGTGAGAAGTAGTGGGGTGGTTTTTCTAGGCGCGAACGATCTCCCCAGCACTACTTTTGAATCGTCAAGCAGACTGTGACGTACGGACGGTATTTTTGGCGCCTCTGAAGTTAGCTCGGAACCGAAGCTGCCAGCAGGCTAGAAGTTGCCGGCATGGTCTATT